TAAACAACCAGTTTATCTCCTTCACTTAAGACCTACCCAATGCAACTTCAATCTAAGTTCAACTTAAACCTGAGTTCCTACTCACTCCCCCTCAATCACAGCAGTGATACTAAACAATTGACTAATGAAATTATGAAGACACTCTTCAGAACATACACTTGATTTTGCTTCACAGCTTTTAATCAAGTAACACAAACACTCGTGCTTCAAAGCTTTGAGTGATATACAACCCTAACTTGACTTTGATTCAAAGCTTTAATCAAGTGACACAAACACTCGTGCTTCAAAGCTTTGAGTGATACACAATCCTTACAATCAAATCCTACTCAAAGTCACTTATCACAATGATAATTGCTTGGATTACAGTAGTTACAACTATACAGTCCCTTATTGATCTTCTGTCAAAAGTATCTTTCACCAACAGTCTTCATGATGAATATATAGCCAGCTATTCTTCTGTTAGGGCTTCCACGAAAATAGCTAGGGTTAATTAGGGTTAACCTCAAGACTTGGTCATAGGACTTTAACACCCAGATTAGGGTTAAGCAAAGTTAACCTAAGTCCACGTGAGAATCTGATCTGGACTGAATAAACCAGATTCCTGAAAATTCTCAGAAATAATAAATCTGCACAAATGTTAGTTCAGTACAGGATGTCTTAACATTGGTTATGACAACAAAAATCCTGTTTACTGATTTTGGTAGAATGCAATAAATATGATCATTGCATAATGATCATCTAAACACTCATATTGAGCAGCTCCTGTATGACATTCTTTTTCTGCAGAATGTACCTTGTGTCCCAGAATGTTATGACATCAGTCATGACATTCACATAACTGGTTTTACCAAAAAACATGCCAACAACCAAACACTTATAAATATCAAAGAAAAAACTAGTTTTCTTCATGCAGCTTTATCAACTGCATACAGTGGAAAACCATGCAACTGAGAAATGTCTTGGTGATCATATCAGTAGCATTGTGATCTGTCAAAACCTTCAACACTTGGAGTAATTTTGTACACATTTTATGTACCTTAGAATCCACTTCAATGCTTGCTAGTGAGTCTTTCCAGGATTCACCATGTACCTGCTTACAAGACTTACTGCATATGCTATATCGGATCTAGTATATACCATATAATACATCAAAGAACCTACTATATTAACATGTAAGATTATATTCATATAAGTTCTTTCGACATCATTATTGGGACACTGATCTATACTCATCTTGAATTGAGGGTTTGTTGAAGTTACAACAGGCTTTGAATTCGACATACCAAACTTGTTGAGAATATTCTGTAGGTATGCCTCTTGAGATAAGCATAATTTCGACTGCTTTCTATCTCTTCGAATGTCAATCCCAAGAATCTGGATGCAGCTCTAAGATCCTTCATATCGAACTCCTTATTGAGTTTAGCCTTCACCCTCATTACATCTTTGAAATTGTTTCTTGCTATGAGAATATCATCCACGCAAAATAACAAAATAACAAATGAATTACCAGGTCGAAATTTGAAGTAAACACAACGGTCAAACTGACTTCTAATGAAACCTATGCGTGTCATGAACTTGTCAAATACCATATTCCACTGTTGAGGAGATTGTTTCAGTCCATATAAGGATCTATTCAGCTTGCACACATAATCTTCCTTCCCCTTTTCGATATACCCTTCAGGTTGCCTCATCAGCATTATTTTATCTAGATCACCATACAAGAACACAGTCTTCACATCCATTTGTTCTAGTTCAAGGTCGAATTGTGCTACCATGGCAAGCAACATTCAAAGGCATGTGCTTCACAACAAGAGAGAACGCATCATTGAAGTTAACACCTTCTTTCTGAGTGAAACCCCTTGTAACCAACCTTTCCTTGTATCTTTTCAACGCCACTCCTTCGATTCCTTCCTTAACTTTTAAAATCCACTTACAACTGAATAACCTGACTCTAGAAGGTTTCTTGATTAGTTCCAAAGTATTATTATCATGAAGAGATTTGATCTCATCATCCATGGCCCTCAGTCATTCAGTCTTATTTCGACTCCTCATAACTTCCTTATGGTCTCTAGGTTCTTCATCTAGAACCTAATTTGTAGAGATTAAGGCATAAGCTATAAGATCTACATACCCAAGTCTCTGAGGTGGCTTGATGACTCTTCTCGTCCTATCTCTTGCCAATATGTCGTCGAAGGTTTATGCTCCTTTTGTTCATTCAAGTCCTTATAATACAAGGTTTATTGAACTTCTTCAAAGTTCAGGGACTCTCTTCCATACAAGAGGGTTTCTTTGAAGTGGGCATGTGATCTAGGCAAAGCGCACAACATCAACATCGTTTGATCTTCATCATCGATATTCACATCAATATTTTCAAAATCAAGAGTCAGCTTGTTAAACATATCCAACTGCTCAACCAACACTTTGTCTTCAATCATCTTGAACAAATACAAAGCTTGCTTCAGGTAGAGTCGATTTACCAGCGATTTGGTTATGTACAAACTTTCAAGTTTCATCCATAACCCTGATGTCATCATCTTCTTTGACACCTATCAAAGAACCTTATCCCAAGGCTCAACAAGATTGGCGCTATGGGCTTTCTCTATAATGGTCGTCTTTTCTTTTTTCGTTAATGCAGCTTCCATAGCTGTTGCTCCCTTCAATGCTTCCAAACAACTCTATTGTACGACTTTCATCTTCAAGCGCCACAGGCCGAAATCGTTCGCTCTGGTGAGCTTTTCAATCTCATACTTTGTTGAAGATATCTTCTCCATGCTCATCGCACCAATTTGTTGTGAAAAATGATACCTTGGAAACAAAGTATAGACTATTTTTTTATGATCAAGAAACAATCAAGGGTAGAAAATATGGGGAAAACAAGAAGAACACAAGGAATGATTATTAACTGTTATTATTTACTTTATCTTTAAATCAGATTACAAGTACACAAGAATAACAAATAACCCCCTCAACCTAAATTAGGAGTTGCAGTATGCAATGATGAGAGACTAGTATGCTATTTATAATAAACCTAACATACTAAATTAATGGGATTTTTCACAAATACCCATTACAAGCTAACTTAGGTTACAAGCTCACTTAAACAATTAGACATAACAAACATGCCCAATTTGAAACACTAATAACCCTAGCATTTCAACACTCACATACTAGAACACACTTCAACTATAGTATGTAGGTCTTCGATACCAGCATGTGAACATACTTTGACAGCATGCATAAATTTTGTCGAACCAGAAACTACTCTTCGACTCAATAGAGTTTGATCCAATATCTCACAGAATTGAACCCAATGACCTTAGGGTATGTTTCGATTGATGGAATGAGATGGAATAAAATGGATTGGAGTGGTAACTAATGAAATTCCATTATTTTGATTTGCAAATAATAGAATGAAACATGATGGAATTAATTCCATCCAATTTTTCATTTTTTGTTCCATCCAATTTGAGATGTATTTGATGGAATAAAATATTTTTAATTAAATAAACAAATAATAGAGTGGTATCTATACTCCATTCTGCTCTGCTTTATTCCGTTTCTCTATGTTCCATTCCGCTCTGCTCCGTTATGTTCCATCAATCCAAATATAACCTAAGGCATATCTTATGTCTTTACCAATACGCCAATGTACATTAATTACAAATAATTCCTATGACTTGTAGTAATAATAAACAATTCTGAATTTGAATTTAAAACCAAAAATAAAAAATTTGTACTCATTGGGTCTTGAACCCAAATTCCTTCAAATGATAGTCCCTTTACAACTATACTGATAAATTTTTCTTGCTAATATTTTTAATGATGGATATTTAATTTAATAATTTAAAATAAATATTTACTTATTTATTTATTTCAAATAACACACAAATAAATATTTACTTATTTTAAATAATACATACATTCAAAAATAAAATTAATAAAATATAAATCCTAAATATAATTAATCAAATAAAAATAAATAAATTAATATTTAATCAAATTCCTATTAAATTAATTGATTATTATTTCATTTTAAAATGAATTTATTATTAAATTTAAATTAGTTAAACATTTTAATAATTAATTGAATTACTATTAAATTAATTAATTATTATTTAATTCGAAATAAATAAATATTTATTTATGTGTTATTTAAAATAAATAAATAAGTATCAAAATAAATATTTATTCTGAATTGTTAAGTTAAATATTCGTCATTAAAAATAAATAACAGAAATTGATTAGTCTAATTGTAAGGTGACTATTATTGCATTTTTGTTTTAAATTCAAAAATATTTAATATTACTATAAGCCATGAGAATTATTTGTCAGTAATGTATATTGACATATTGATAATGACGTAAAATATGACTTAAGATCTTTAGATTCGATTCCTTCTAGAAATAAATTATGACCTTTTGATATTTTCAAATGATTTACAAATAAAATTAAAAATAAAAATAAAAATTAGTTTAAATAACTAAAAATTAAAAATATTATTCTACGTGGTTTTCCATGAAATTATTAAATAGATTTTTTTTTTCAAAATTAATTAAGATTTTATAATTTTGTGAGGAACTATAATAGATCTTCATTCTTAATAATTTTATAATATATTTAAAACATTAATGTTTAATTTTTATCATAATCCTTATAATTTATTATTTTCTATTATTCTAATTTTTTATTCTCTTTCTACTTTTTTTTTTTTGTGGATAAGATCCATATACCTTCAAATTTATTCATTTTTCTTGATTAATGTAATTTTAGCTTATATGAGAAAATATCTAAGATGGTAGAAACACTAAAATTAAATTAATACATGTATGATGCACCGAATAAAACCTTACGATTTTTTATATTCATCATAATGGAATCATGTCATTGATCTCTTGTAAATATATAACAAAGAAGAGAAAACATAAACTATAATAACTAAAAAGACGCATCACATGTCTATTTTATTCAAGAGCATCAGTTTCATGTGTGCAATGTTGTCTTCAAGCCTTAGATGAAGGAGGATGAGGAATAATATAACCTGAAAGAGTAGAAATGTATGTGAAAATTACTATTATTTTCATTAAAAAATAAATTTTTAAAGATAGATAATAATAAAATAAAAAAAAGGGTTAACTTACTTCCACACTTATCCGTAGGAATATTTTGAGCTTGGCAAGTTTTTGCCACATACAAAGCTTTTTCAATGCTGACCATATTCTCAACAACAGGAGTCACGTATTTGCAATAACACGAGATATTAGCACCTTTTAATGCTGCGCAACAAGATTCCGATGGTGGAATTGTTTTTCCTTCCTTTTGAATGAAACTGCTACATTGCGTTTTAATGCCAATTAGGTTACCACCACATTCAAGTTGAGCAGAAATTTCTAACACTAAGATGCTAGCAGTAAGCATTATTGTTGCAAAGCATAAGCATCTAGTTGCCATGGTGATGTACAATAAGATGAAATATTTTTTGTTTATATAACAAATGATGCACTAGAGACTGGTTTATATAGTAGAATGATGATGTGAGAAAGAGCATACTTATTAATAAATATTATTTACGTTTGACTTCAATAAGATATAATTAATAAAATCAGATATTAAAAAAACACCTTCAATTATTTTTTTCTATAAATAAAATAAAATTTATCTAATTGTTATGATGATCTTGAATACAAACTTTTAAATAATTTTTGAGACCAATGTATCACTAACATGACATATTTAATAACTCTTTTAACACATATTCATATAATAAAATTTATTGTTGGATTGAATTCTATAATTATATAAATCATGTTTATAAAATTTTATATCAATAAAAAATTATTTGATATATCAACGACATACATAAAAATTAACGTCTTACAAAATTTTAAAAAAAATATTAATTTTGATTCATCTCTATAACATATTAAATTATTTCTGTTAACTTTTATAGACATGATTTATATGATAATAGTCTTCAATCTAACGGTGGATTTTGTTATAGAAATATGCGGTTAAGGGTGTATAAAATATCCGATTGGGAAGCTCAAATTCATAACCAAATCTAAATCTGTTTTAAATATTCGAATATAATTGAATGGTTATTAACAGTTTGATTATCCATCCATATAATTCAGATATAATTAAATGGTTATTAATCTATTAAATTTTTTTATTTCGGTTATAATCCAAAATCTAAATGTTTTAATTCAATTATAAATTTTTTAATTTTAAAAATAAAAAAAATTATTTTAATGAATACTTTTTTAAAATTTTGAGAAAAAAAATATAATTATTTTTTTCAGAAAAACAATACATTTAAAATTTTTAATTTAAAAAAATATTCTAGAAAAAAATGTTTCCAGAAAAAATGTCAATTTTTTTAATAATTTCAGGAAAACAATAATTTTTTTCATAAATTTTTATTCCAATTTTTTAAAAATTTCAATTTTTTTTATAATTTCAAAAATAAATATTTATAAAATTATTATTATGACCGGGATGGCAAAGAAACGAGGGCGTCTGAATTATATAGATCATGTTTATAAAATTTTATATCAATCGAAAATTATTTGATATATCAACGAGATACATAAAAACTAACGTCTTACAAAATTTCAAAAAAAATGTTAATTTTGATTCATCTCTTTAACGTATTAAATTATTTCTGTTAACTTTTATAGACATGATTTATATGATAATAGTTTTCAATCCAATGGTGGATTTTGTTATACAAATATGCAGTTAAGGGTGTGTAAAATATTCCGTTGGGAAGCTCAAATTCATAACGAAATCTAAATCCGTTTTAAATATTCGAATATAATTGAATAGTTATTAACGGTTGATTATCCATCCATATAATTCAGATATAATTAAATGGTTATTAATCTATTAAATTTTCTGATTTCGGTTTTAATCCAAAATCTAAACGTTTTAATTCAATTATAAATTTTTTAATTTTAAAAATATAAATAATTATTTTAATGAATACTTTTTTTAAATTTTGAGAAAAAATATTATTATTTATTTCAGAAAAAAATACATTTAAAATTTTTAATTAAAAAAAATATTCTAGAAAAAAATGTTTCCAGAAAAAATGTTAATTTTTTTTAATAATTTCAGGAAAAACATAATTTTTTTCATAAATTTTTATTCCAATTTTTTTATAATTTCAAAAATAAATATCTATAAAATTATTATTATGACTGGGATGGCAAAGAAACGAGGACGTCTGAAGAATCCAGTCCCCCCCCCCCCCCCCCGATTGTGAACGAATCCTTGCAACAATTTTCTTCCAGTCATGATGCGAGTACTAGTAAAGTCGAAAATGAGAGGTCTGATGAGGAGATATTGGTGAAATTCCTAAACCTGCCGAAACCCTAAGTCCCAAAGATGAAAGGAAATTGTGGGTGGACATTTTGAATGATAACAAGAATCCTGCAAAGGGGAGAAGCGTGACTTTCATAGCTCTAAAGATTATTAATGAGAAATTAAGGTGGAAATTGAAGAAGAAGATGTAATTTCTGAACTCAAATTCTAGAAAACTTCCCTTGTCTTGTATGCTTTGGGAGGAGATCTTAGCATGAACGCCGTCAAGAACTTCATGCTTAAGAGCTGAAACTTTGTCCAACTTCCAGACATGTATTACCATGAATAAGGGTATTTTATCCTTTGATTCAAGACTTTCCGAGAAATAGATGATGTTCTCATGAGAGGCTCATACACGATTCGAAGTATGTCATTGCTTATTAGGGAGTGGCGTCAAAATTTCAACCTAAAAGATGACTTACTTCGCACTCTTCCTATCTGGGTTAAACTCCCCTAATTGCGTATTTATCTTTGGGGAGAAGTTAGTCTTAACAAGATTGGAAGTGCCTTACGTAATTCAATTATCACTGATGAGTGCACTGCGAATAGACTTCGTTTTTCCTATGCTCGAGTTCTAGTTGAAGTGGATATTACAAAGGAGCTTCCCCAAAGTATTACTAATAGAGACAAAGAGGGAGAAAATTTCTTCAGCCTATAGAGTATGAGTGGAAGTCTCTCTTTTGTGAGAAATGTCAAAAGGTTGGTCATAATTGTGACAAGCCTAAGCCAAAAGCAATGCAATGGAAGCCACAACCTAAGCCATTAGAGGAGAATAAAGATTTTGTTATAGTTCACACCACTCTCAATGTTACTAAGGAGCCTGATAATGCTACTAACAAAGATAATAACACTGTTGGGACTGAGAAATGGTCATTAATTCAGAAAAGTGGAAAGGATAGAGGGAAAAGGCAGACTCATGAAGGTTATCAAGACAAGATCTCTGGTAAGTTGGTTTGTGTTGTACCCCAAAATTTTCCCTCTCATTTTATCAAGATTTCCCCTCACAAGACTCTTTGAACTCAAGACCAAGCTAGGGTTTGCTCTGCTCAAGACATCTCCTTGCACTGTTGACCTGAAATTAGGGTTTGAGTTTTCACAAGGATTTTTGGACTTTAAATGCTAAAAGTGACTTCCATACTTCATGTTGGATTCCTAAGATTGCTCACACCAAGTTTCAAGCCTTGAACCAAATTTTTGCCCAGTCAATTGGACAATTGACCTAGAAATCAACTGTATTGGGGAAAAAGTCAACTGTGGCCAATTTACAGTCAAACCTCATAATTTTTTATCCATATCAACATTATAGACTCATATGAACCATTTGATCAAGTTTGGATCACAACTCCTCAAAAAATTTGATCAGATCATCAAAAGGGTAAAATGGTCATTTTTAGGGTTTTGACTGCAGAAGGGCAATTTCTGATTTTTAACCTAGCCAATGGAAAATTGGGTTCAAGCATGGATTCAAGGACTCAATGGCATCATCTTGACCTAATCACAAAGTTCAAAAGATCTCAATTGTATTGGATTGACATATGAATTTTCCAATCAACTGATCAAAAATCAATTGTATACTGAAAAGTCAAACTTTGACTTTTTGGTCAAAATCAAGTGCCAAGGGTCATTTTTCATCAAGATGTGTCAAAATATGAAACTTGTTCACCAAGAAACCTAATTTTGCAAATTAGGGTTTAAAATGGAAAATTTTCATAACTTAGAAATTTTCTAAGTTATGAAAATTTCTTATTTTTTCCCAACTTTGCCCAACTTTTTTGCCATGATGAAATTGGATTCAAACAAAACTTCCAACTTGAAAGTTGTAGTACTCCACAAAATCTACAACTTCTATTCATAAAGTTTTCCCAAAATATGCTTAGATCTCAAGTTATGATTTTGTGAATAAGGATCCATGAAACTTTTAACTTAGTGAAATTTTGCCCTATTTAGGCAGGATTTTGACCTATCTTCATGGAAATTTTTCACCTAGTTCCAATTGGAATCTCAAAATTCATTTCAAATATGGATTGTAGAGAATGTTACAAGCTTTCCAAAATGTCCAAGAACTCTCCAAAATCATATGTGGTTAGGGAGAATCGAAGGTTTGAATTTGGAAAAATGTCACTTTGATCCATGGCATTTTTCATGTTGACACAAGTTGCAATTTATGTCCAGCCTTGTTTGTACTTGTTTACAGGTCCTTAAACCCTTCCACACTCAAAAATTGAATGCAAACACATTGGTTAGAGGTATTGTTCTGATCTATGGAAGATTACACAAGGGTTTAATCCATTTTTGGCAAAAAGTGAACAATGTCATTTACATAAAGCATGCTTTATGTCAAATTGCATTTCTTGAGCCATACACCAAGTCATTTGCAGAAAACAACATCCACAAACTTAGGAAAAAGTATACCAACTCTTAGAAGACCCTAAGCTAGATGGTACAAGCTTTTGCATTGTCATTTCACACTTTTCTTCAAAACCAAGTCAACTTGCAAAAACCAGATATCTTGGCAATCTGATAAAATCAAAGTTTGTAACCATTTCAAACAAGTTTTGCATATCACACTAAGTCAGAAGCACGAGCTAAACACTTCTCAAACCTTCCAAAATACCAAAAATCACATTTTCTTGCAAAACAGGGCAACTTCTGCAGTTTGACATCCAAAGCAAAATCCCCTCGTGCGTTTTGCTTGCAACCACTTCAAACACCTTCTAAATAACACACCTAAGCTATCCCAACCATTTCCCAACAACTGTAACCTTGTTTTCAAGCTTCACCATTTTGGAATTCTGACTTTGCAGGTTGAGTTCCATAGAGAGATTCAAGCAAGTTCAAAGCAAACTAAGCATTGGGGAAGGTCAAAGGAACTTCGAGCAAGCTCCCAAGTGTCTCAGGCCTCACTGAAAACCCCTGCATTTCCATACTCGAGCTTGACTGAAACAGGTAAAGTTCAAACTTCTATCTCTCTATTTAGGAAACATTAGGCTTAGGTTTGTGAATAAAAAATGTAGTATTCGTTGCCCTTAAGCTGTACATATGCATAGATTTCATTTAAGTTAACTGAGTTGGGAGAATTTGATTGA